CTTTGTTGTCAATATTCCACGCATCAGAACCAAACGGCTTGCTTCGTCTTTTGTAATGCGTACAGCAAACGAGTAGAATAATTTGCCGGCGTCTATCTTTCCTTACGAATACAATCTGGGTGTCTTCAAGGCAAGAGTGAATAGGTTTTTGTTACGCTAAGACAGTGCGATTTACCAATTGGGGCTGTATCACCACTTACCACTAGGAGGTGGGAATGTGGTCAAGCACTGCCTTATAATAAGTAAAAAAAAAAACTTATGTCATATATCAACATATACGTAGTAGAGACACACTGCACCTAATTATAGATGTAGCACGCATAGGTCGACTCGACCGGGGAAGGAACACGCTCTCATAGTATAGTAGCTTAATACTTATTTCATAATCATTAGAGTTACAATCTACCATGGAGTTTAGTTCCTGCAGAACTGAGAGTATTTGTGCAGTATAAAGAAACTAGAACACTAGATCAATGATAACCGCATTTGGGCTTGGTTTTATAATCATATTATTTTTTCTTTTTAGCCCCTAAAAGTCCACGTCTGGACATGGACTTCTTTCGTTGTAAGGAGGATTTGTCTTAATTGTTTTACGCTTGGCTAATAAATTAACGATCGCAGTATGACTTCTCGCAACTTCTATGCTGGTGGCCGTAGCTACTTTGGGTGTCTGATGTAAACAATACTGTGTAAAGCCATTTATGATCAATATGGCGTGATTTGTTACTTATTTTATGCCAGTGCTTGATTAAAATCCCACCTGGTGGCAAGTTGTGATGTAGCTCTCGATGGTAAATCACACTGTCTTAGTGTAACAAAGCCTACGGACAAAAAGACTAGACCCTGGAAATCATTCCACTCTTGCTGATTTGCGGAGGTATGAAGTAAGTCAGGTTATGATGGAATCACCTCCGCCTATACTACACGGTCGTCTCGTCGTCGTCGTCTTAGTCAATATTTTGAAGAGGCTTTGTTCGCAACCACAGAACTATTATTACTATACGTATACAAACCATAAATTCTTAGAAATATGAAAAAGAACATAATTTTAAAATTGTGGTACCTACTATACAGGCTGCCGTAATTTTTTTTAGTTTTTTTGATAAACTTTAGTGAAATTTACTTTAGGAGTAGATATCCTCAAAACTAGTTTGTATTTCAACCGGCGATAATGGCCAGCTCTAACTCGTTACTTCTCGCTGCAGTGCTACAAATATGTTTTTACTGCCTTTACAGTGTCGGGACAAAATTTATTAGCAGCAGTGAAGCATCCATTAGATAATTCAGTCTTTAAGCCAATAGAGAACCCTTTTTAATTAAATGCTAACGTTGCTTAACATTGCTTTTGCTATTAATAGGTATTAAAGGAGCGCTGTGGTTACCTCTGTCGAGGGGTTCGATCCCCAGTTGGAAATCATTATATTTGTGCAAATTGTGTTTTACTTAATCATTAACCCGTAAAGGTTCATTACCTGACATGGGCTTCTGCGATTGAAGGTCGCGGTATCAGACGTCTCGAACATTGTTGCGGTTTGAGTACTTTACGCCCAGCGAGAAATTGTTATACCGTCATCTATCAAAACCCAAAAGATCACTGACATTTTGAATTATTGCTTTCATATTAAGGTAAAAATTATATCTACTTAAATTATATCTATATCTATATTTATAGATAAAATTGAAAATACAAAACAAAATAACAGTCTTTTATTGAGTTTAGGGGTCATTATGATACAAATAACCATTTTTAATTTTTTTGTCGTTTTGTCAGTCTCTGTCTGACGCCTGGCCGGACTAATCATTTTAATGGCTGAAACTATTGTGATGCAAAACCACGAATATGTAGAGCAATGCTATTAGGCATATTTTTGGCATATTATTGGCAAATGTAGGCATTATTTTATCTAGAAAAAAACTGTAAAGTATTTTATCTTAAAGTTAAATGCCACATTAGTGGATCCAAGCCAGAGGAATCCGGGGCGAGTCGCTAGTTTGTAATTAAAGTTTAGTTAATATACCAATTGTAAAATTGTAAACTAAGAGGATTCCCTGCCAGATGGAGTGACGACCTGGTAGGAGATCGACGAATGAAGGTGGCTCAGGACCGTTTGTGCCATTCCTTAGGGGAGGCCTGAAAAGGGGATATTATTTGTTAATATTATTAGTTACAGTTGCTATATCACGTAAACGTTACGTTCTATAAATAACTAATTATTATACAGATGTAATGTATTTGAATTAGGCCAAAGATCCTTGGCAACTCAGGGTTTATGCGCTATCTGTAAATTTCACAGTCCGTGGGCAACTTAGGTTCGATCTCCGCTGTCATCAATGAAATTTTATGCAAATTTAAGTGCTGTTTTACCACGTGTTCGACGGTAACTAAAACATCGCGGGGAAACCTGAAAGTCTAAAAAAAATGACATGTGAAGTCCGCCAACACGCATTGGGCCAAATTGCTTCCCCTAAAACCTTCTCAGAAATGAGAGTACACCTGTGCCCAGCAGTGAGACGTATATAGGCGCAACTTTATTTTAGTTTAAACATACGGTATTTTAAGGAATATTCAACCGTATGTTTGCCTTTACAAATAAACTGTTCTCAAAATTGTTATTTATATCTCTTATACATCGTCGCCGAACCGTAGCGCAGTTAGTGTTGGATTAGGCTATAAATCAGGCAATAACTCTTGACTCCACTCTGCGCTCATTTATGTGCCCATCAAATTTCACGACCAAATCAACGACTCACATCGTAAGGCAGTCGCACAAATATGTACAAACAACTTTGATCTGGGTATAAAATTACAAAGGCCATGTTGTGAAACAAGTTTTGCCATATCGGCGTTTTGAATTCACTGCTGTAGTCCTTTTTAGGAACGTATCCAATCATATTATGGAATAAAAAATAAAATCATTATATATTTTAAGTTGTAGAGCCATGCTGTAGCTATATTATGGTTGTAACGCGCATGGGTCGGCTCAGTCGGTGATGAACCACGCTCTCACAGTATACCAGCGTTAAATAGCAACTTAATGTTGCTGTGGTAAGTGAAGAGAACCGGAGAACATATTTACTGGAAACGGAGCATTATATCTTAGTCCTCAGGGGTGACAAAGCAGTTGCATTAAGATTCTTAATCGAGGATAGATGAAGAGGTTTGTAGTTCAGAATCCACTTACCGTCAGATAGATAGGCTAGTTTGTCACGCTTATTCTATAAAAAAATCACATTCCTCTTCCGTTTTACGAACGAGTAGCCTTAATCATCACGCTTGGCAGGCGAACTGATGATCGCTGTACTGAATGTCTCGCATTTAAGACATATTTGGCGGAAAAAGATGGTCATACCGCCATTTATCGGAAACCATAAGACCTTTCTTGTTTCATTTTATAGTTGCCTTCTACGGCACCCATGGGAAGATGTGACGTATTATATTCACGTTGCAATAAAATAAAAATAAAAAAATTGGTAAATACAATTGGGCATGCCTTAAGCGCATTAAAAAAAATTACGTATAACATGATTATACGGAATTTTTTAAAGTAGTTTAAATACGTTTCGACAGCACTATCGGCTTCAACACCCTCGAAAATCATGAAAATGACACCCATGATGAAAAAATTGGCACCTACTTCAGCCGCCATCTTGGACTTACATTTCGACAGCACTATCGGCTTCAACACCGTCGAAACCCATGAAAATAACACCCATGATGAAAAAATTGATACCTATTGCAGCCGCCACCTTGGATTTACATTTCGACAGCACTATCGGCTTCAACTCTCTCGAAAACCATAAAAATGACACCCATGATGAAAAATTTATACCTATTGCAGCCGCCATCTTGGATTTACATTTCGATAACCCTATCGGTTTCAACACCCTCGAAAACCATGAAAATGTCACCCATGATGAAAAAATTGATATCTATTGCAGCCGCCATCTTGGATATACATTTCGACAGCACTATCGGCTTCGACACCCTCGAAAACCATAAAAATTACACCCATGATTAAAAAATTAGTACCTACTTCAGCCGCCACCTTGGATTTACATTTCGAGAGCACTATCGGCTTCAACACCCTCGAAACCCATGAAAATGACACCCATGATGAAAAAATTGATACCTATTGCAGCCGCCACCTTGGATTTACATTTCGACAGCACTATCGGCTTCAACTCTCTCGAAAACCATAAAAATGACACCCATGATGAAAAAATTTATACCTATTGCAGCCGCCATCTTGGATTTACATTTCGATAACCCTATCAGTTTCAACACCCTCGAAAACCATGAAAATGTCACCCTTAACAAAAAAATTGATACTACTTACTTTTAGTACGTACTACTATTATTTATTCTGTACTTTTAAAATATTGTAATAAAAAAATCTCTTTATTCGAATATTGTGTATTTGTACAGCGATCTTTTTGAGTCACTGCAAACAACCGAAACAATGTCCACTCACGACGGCAACTGACATAGATAATACACTATATACCAGGAACTGGCGACTGACACCGAACTGAGTGAGTGAGTAAACTACTCTGTGGCTGTAGCTCCCTATTTACAGAAATAATTTACATACAAGGCTACCAAATCAACGAAAATTTCCCCATTTTGGAGCCGAAAAATATTAATTATAGCTAAGCAAAACAAAATTACACTGCTATTTACATTCAGTGGCTTCCCACATGATAGATGAAGTGATTAAAAAATAGATTGAGTTAAACAACTAACAAAAACATTTCGCGTTTCGAGTCGCGGCGCATACGGACGTGTCGTACCGTTTAGTTAAAATTAAATCATTTTAAATAAGTAGTTTCATTCTAAAATCATAATTATTGCAATTACAATAGAGTTTATTTATCATTGCTAGTGTCAGTGGTTACGTGCCGTGTTGTGTGTCCTTCGCAGTGAAGTTGCCCTCCGGTTATTATTGCATCTCACTCGCATAACACAGAGTAGCTGGAGTTCAGAGAAATCCTTCCGCAAAATGCAACGCTCACCTCCTAATAAGCGTCACGATTCTGATCCAGATTTATCGAATATAAGCATAAGAAAGCGAAAGAACGATCATGATATCACAGAATCGTTCCAAACATTTACGGATACTATATTTAAAAAAATGGATAGCTGGAAAACAGAGTTTGATAAAAATCTTTCACAAATAAACCACACATTAAATGATATAATTAAAAAAGATCTAACAAAATTAAAAGAAGATTCTATGGAATTGAAGACAGAGATAAAAAATGCTCGGAAGGAATATACAGAAGTAAAAGCAAGTGTCGCAGTACTCAGTGCACAACAATCCGAAATGCAAAAAGATATAATCACACTTCAAAAATCAGTGCAGTTTAACTCTGACTGGCATGATGAAACCACCAAAAAGATTGAAGTCCTATCTGAGCACACAAAGAAAACCGACAACCTCAAATCGGAAATTAATAATCTCAAACTACAAAATCAACAATTAAATCGACAAATGAACATTAATGAACAACGTGACCGACTGCTAAATGTGGAACTTGTCGGCATACCAGAATCAATCAACGAGGACCTAAATGATACCATCTTCAAAATATGTAAACACATCGGAGTTGCAATCAATATAAATGACATTCTGCAGGTTAACAGAGTATCTCCAAAAGTAAAATTGCCAGGTCGATCGAGGGTGATTATTGCCAAAATGAAATCAAGACTCCTGAAAGATAACCTAATATCTCTATCGCGTAAAAATCGTCTAAGCACTGAGGACATTGGGCTAGCAGGTGAAAGCAGACCAATTTTTATTAACGAGCACTTAACCTCTCACAATAAGCAGCTCCTAAAAAAGTGCAAAGATTTTGCTAAATTGAATCAGTACCAGTTCGTCTGGACAAAAAACGGAAGAATTTTCGTACGAAGAAACGATACATCTCCTGGCCTACAAATTTTCGACGAGGAGGATCTCAAGAAAATTATCACCAAACAATAGCTGATGACGTTTTTATAATGTTACTATTTTTCCTTATTGGTTTTGGTGTCTATGGTTTGTTAATGATTACTAATCTTTATCTTAACCGTAATAATATAAGAATATATAATTTAATTGCTTTCCAAAATACTGTGTTAATTGAAGAAACGTTTTTGTCCATATTTTCTCTGAAGATAGTCTACTCTGTGATCGAACTAATTACTGTTATATATTGTACTTTTGCATTTGTGCCTTCTCCCTTTCGCATAGTGCACTGCAACTTTATAGTGATTTGTCGATTAAATGGCAGGTACCGAAACACACAAAGTATGAACTTTTTGGCTCACTGTAACAAACTAGTAAAGTCTAAGACTAGTTTTTTTTATGCACATGTCTTTTTTGAACTTATGAGGACCTGTAATATCTATGAGCACATAATGGCATATCAAATAACGTCTCTCATCATTGTTTCTAATGAGCAAAGTACTACGCAATCACAACTAATTACAAGTATTGGCATTGGGTGCTCGGCGTTCTGCACCAGTAACATTTTTATTTTACAATACCGCCAACTTGCTCGCGAAATGGTGCGCTTACCGCATATTAGTAGTACATTACGCTCAGTAAGTAAACACTTCAATATTCTATCACAAGCACACGTAAAGTCTTATAATATAAAAGACAATCTTTATTCGTTACTGTTATTCTGCAGAAATGGTATGTTTAGCGTGTGCGAACGTAAATCTCATTATGCAACAAGTAATAGAAACATACTTAATACTCGTAAACATAATATTACCAATACATATCCGTGGTTGTTATTAATTTTCATATTTGTTTCCGGTATACTTATAAGACAGTTACAATTTATTAAATTAATACATGTTTAAAATGGCGGTCCAATATAACAAATCAGGGAAAGATTTATCTATTTACTATCAAAATGCCCGCGGACTGAGAACCAAATGTTTACAACTGCGGCATCAAATTTTGTGCAATGAGTATGACATTATTGTAATAACAGAAACCTGGTTGCATGATGGGATTTTCGATAGGGAATTTTGCGATAACAGATATGACGTGTTTCGCCATGACCGTGATCCTGACTTAAGTTGTAAAAAAATTGGAGGAGGTGTTATGATACTGATACGCTGCGGACTGGGCGCGACGCGCTGCGTAATCGCCGATGCGGTCGTTGCGGGCTTCGAGCCACGCACGGAGATTGTGACGGTGTCGGTGCCGGCGCGTGCGCTTGCGGCCGCTGCTGACCTATGTATTAGCGTGATTTATATTCCACCTGACTCGGAGCGTATTCCGGGTGATATAGAATGCCTACTGCAAACTCTTACAAGTATAATGGGCACAAATGGTACACAGGGACATTTTTTAGTGATGGGCGACTTCAATTTGCCATGTATATCGTGGCACAGGGATGGCCCTGTGCATACAAGTGGTTGTAACGTGGACGTGCGGGATGCTGGAATCAGACTGACAGAAGAATTGAGTTTTCTAGGGTTAAAACAATATAACACCATAATAAACCACGCTGGCAATACATTAGACCTAGCATTTTCCGATCTTCCATTGGAAATCACTAACTGCACTTCACCCCTAGTTAACATTGACCGGGCCCACCCACCTCTTGTAATAGAGGTCTTAGATATCACATTAACTCCTCTAGTTGAAGCATCACTCCCTAAGCATAACTTCCATAGAGGCAATTATGATAAAATAAATCAAGCGCTTGATAACATCGATTGGCTATCTTTGTTGGGCTCGTGCGGAGCTGAAGATGCTTGTAATATTTTTTATGACACAATTAATAACATAATCACAAAACATATTCCTTATAAAACAACACATGGCAATTATACTTATCCATTCTGGTACAACCAAGCTCTAATAAAAATAATAAAAGAAAAATCGAAAGCACATAAAAGATGGAAAAAATACGGCAATTATTTAGATTATGATGAATTTTCATTTCTACGTAAACGACAACAACGCGTGACTGACCAATGCTTCAAAAATTTTACAAAACAGGCAGAAAAATCTATTAAATATACACCAAAGGCATTTTGGACTTATATAAAATCTATGCGCGGAGGATCTAACTATCCCAAACAAATGTCATACCGTGAAAATACAGTATCCAATGGGAGAGACATATGTGATGCATTTAACGATTTCTTCAAAAACGTTTTCGGAGTCCCATCCATTGGGTCTACAGAAATTGAGCGTGATAGCATAGTTGGTGACGCCATTTCCAAAATCCATGTTGAGGAGTCTCTGGTCGAGAAAAAATTAAATCTCCTAGACATCTCAAAGGGAGCTGGGTGTGATAATATTCCACCATTATTCTGGCGTAACTGTGCAAAGACTGTCTGCACACCTATAGCCCTTATATTTAATATTTCACTCCGCGAGGGAGTCTTTCCTAGAATTTGGAAAAAAGCGCACGTGGTGCCTATACATAAGAAAGGTAGCAAAAGTAAAATTGAAAACTACAGGGGGATCTCAATATTAAATACAATTTGTAAAGTCTTCGAAAAAATAGTTTTTGATACCATATATCCTGTTATAAGTAAAGGCCTACCAGATGCCCAGCACGGATTTCTCAGACAACGCTCCACTGTCACAAATCTCGCGTGCTTTTCCAACTATGTACTATCAAATATGGATGGCGGAGGGCAAATTGACGTGGTCTACACCGATTTTGAAAAAGCTTTCGATCGTGTGGACCACGTCATTCTTTTGAGAAAACTTCAGATGTTGGGTATTCACGGGGATCTGCTCAGGTGGATCGAGTCGTACTTACATAACAGGTCGCAAGCTGTGGTGCTGGGGGGATACAGATCGGACTTCATCGACATACCTACGGGTATACCCCAGGGTTCCCATTTAGGACCTTTATTTTATGATGCTTATGTCTACGATATCATCAATTGTTTTACATTTACACAACATTTAATGTACGCCGATGATAAAAAAATATTCATCAAGATTCAAAGTGTAGAGGACTGTTTTAAAATGCAACTTGACTTAGACACTTTATTAAATTATTACTTAGAGAATAATATAACAGTTAACATTAATAAATGTGAGTGCATTACTTTCACGAGAAAACCTAACCCAATATTGTACTGCTACAACTTTAATGGAATACCAATTCGTAGAACATCGATTGTGAGAGATCTTGGCGTATACTTCGATAGTAAAATGCTTTTGTCTGACCATGTTAACAAAATAGCGGCCAAAGCTTTCAAAAATCTAGGATTTGTCATTAGGTCATGCAAACCTTTTAAAAATCTAAGTACCTTGAATGCCTTATATAATGCTTATGTCCGCAGTGTCGTTGAATATGCCTGCCCGGTCTGGTCCCCCCAATACGCTATTTACATAAATCGTCTAGAGCGCGTACAGAAAATATTTATCAAGCATCTTAATTATCGCGTATATAAACCAGCCTTACCAACCTACCAAGAGAACTGTGACCGATTTAACTTACTTACCCTTGAAGATAGACGTAAACTAGTGGATGTATGCCTGCTGTACGATATAGTGCACGGACGCATTGATTGCCCCGAGCTAGTTACGAGCGTGGGGCTTAACGTACCTTTACAACGTGCCCGCCGCGCCACGCGCCGCCCGCCGCCCCTGTTAAGTGTACCGCGCGCTGGTACTAATTACGCGCGTAATGCACCCCTCTCGCGTCTACCCAGTGTTTACAATGAATTCTTTAGAGAAATTGATATCTTTAACTACAGTAAGAACGCTTTTAGGCGCTTAGCTATTGAAAATCTTAAAACTAAAGCTAGAACCTAAATAAAATAACATAACATAACATAATTTATAGTAGAGTAAAAATAATAATAATATACTGCTAATCTTGTGTATAAAAAGTAACATGTGTGTATTCGTGTTTATTTGTTTGGTACCGTTGAGCAGTGTGTGCTGTTACTGATTTTATTAGTGTGCATGTACATATGTTTATGAATTTGTGTATGAGACTTGTCAAATGTGCATATTGCCTAAGGGAACAGATGCAAACATTTAATGTTATAAGTGTAAAATTGAATGTATACCAACTGATACTAATCATTACGACCGTAGTATGTTATGCCTTAGTAATTAAAGGAAACCTGTTATTGGCCTTTATTATAAGAATAATATTGTTTAATGTTAACTAATTAGAACGCTGTTGGTTTCGAAATAAATTAAAAAAAAAAAAAAAAAAAAAAAACAATTGATATTTTCAAAAGTTATCATCGCCTTGGGGACATGATAAATCCACACCATAAGCCACTAAAACCCCGTTTTTTATTTAAAAATAGCAATTAATCGATTTAAAAAAAATATTTATAAGTTTAGCAATCATTTATCTTTCTATCAATGTGCTTTTTATATCATTTATATGTATAATATGATTGCTAGATACGATTTCATTCGATAAAACGTTGGAATCTTAATTTTTAGGCGATAGTAGAACATACCTCTCTTCGCTTAAGGCATGCAATAAGGTACCTATATCATCCAATGAATAGATTTGGTTTAATATTAATACTTGGTAGAGCCACGCTGCAACTATATTAGTATTATAGGTGTATCACGAATAGGTCGGCCCGATCGGGGAAGGACCGCGCTCTCACAGAATACCAACGTAAAATGGCAGCTTGACACTGCTGTGTTTCGTATGGTGAGGGTTTCTCTACACTTACCTTACGAAACACAGCAGTGTCAAGTAAGAGACCCATTCTATTGGAAAAGAGGCATTCCATCTTAGTGCTCACGGGTGATTCTTTATTGAGGCTAAATGCAGATGTCTATGGCTCACCGCAACCACTTACCATCAAGCGGACTGTGAGCCCGTTTTCACCCGTCCTATATAATTTTTTTTTTGAAATGTGCGAGCTTTCTGCATTACTTGGGAGTTTTCTCTATGCTTACCACTCTGGGTCGCCGGTCAACTAAGTATGCTACCCTCCAAAACCGTTCTATAAACTTTTAGCCTTCTCTGGATG